ATCATGGCGACGGTGAATCGCTTCGCTCCCTGTTACAATACGAAATGTTCGTGGGAATCTTCTATCGTAATATAAGGGTGGTCCCTGCAAAAGGACGGGAAAAGCCTTTCTTAGTGGGTCGTCTGATCAATCCAACCAAACTCTCCTGATGCCGATCGTTTTCTCATTATGAAAGTCTAAACGTCTCGACGTCGACTGCTTGGAATCTGGTTGTTACTACTCTGCGCCGCAGTTTATCTGGTCATCGTCACAAGCGCAGAACAAATCGAGGAGCCGGTGAGGCTGGCGTGCGTCATTAGGCACACTCAACAAGTGCCTCGCCGCATCTGTAGTAAAAAAAAAAAAACTGGGCGGTTCTTCGCGTGCCCTGACTTGAACCCGTCCAATGCTGGTTCCATAGCCAACTGGTTGCATTGCATGCATGGCCGGGGCTGAATCCCCAAAACACACAGACATCATAGCTGCCTTTCGTTTCCGTTGCAATGATTCGCTTTTCAAGCCCCCGTGCCGGCAATGCAGGCATATATGCATGCGGCAGCTTCTACTAGGAACGAACCAAGGCGGCCTAACATTTGGACAGCAAAGTTGCGTGCAAGTGCACTTGGTTGATGACTGTGTGGCCAAGTGCATCAGGCAGGCATCCCAGCGAGCGAGAGGACGGCGTCGCGTTGAGGAGGCAGTGAAAGTAGGCGGCGGTTCTCGTGCACGGTTCTTCAATGCCCCCGCTCCACCACCACCTCCATGAGGAGATTTCAGATGTCGCTTTGGCGAGATCAGAGGGGGATCGATCGCCGGACCCGCCACCAACTGCAACTGGCCAAAAGAGGCCTCGTCGGACTGCTGCACATGCAGTAGTACACACATGTACCGGTGGAGCAGTCATATGGCGCGGCTAGCAAATGGCAGTATGGCACCTCTTCTTTGAGAAAAAGCTGTGGAGCTGAGGGGCCTTTGCGCCTCTGCGTCCGCTGCCTGCCACCATCAAAATAGGCCGAAATTTCATGGGCGGAAAAACACCTGGGAAGGTTTCTACACTTGGAAAAACACAGCACGGAGGGAGGATCCCTGAGCCGTCCCGATCACGATCGGTGTCTGTCGCAAATGAACGGCCATCTCGTGTCCGTTCAATTCAAGTGGGACTTGGGCTGGCTGTTTTTGTGCTCGATCATCCACATGAAATGGAGGAGAGGAGAGAGCTCTTGGCCTAGCCTGTTGGCTTGCTCGTAAACGATCGTAAATTTTCAGCTAGGAACAGTGTTTTTCTTTCACACCAAACCAGCCAGCAGTAAATAATCCACGATACGATACGGCCTCCCGAACAGGCTGTTTGTCTTTGCAGTTGCAGCTCGTGGTTGGGGAACGTACAGCAGGCGAGAGTCAAGCATGAGAGACCTCTTTACTGGTTCTATTACTAGTACTAATGACCGATCATATGGTCATATGGCATCGCATCACCCAGTGCAGCGGCCTTGTCGGGAGTCATGTCAGTACAAGGATGTTTCGGATTCCGGTCTCCGGGCAGGCATGTGATGAGAAGCCTACAACGAGGCTAGCCTGCCTGGTGGACCGGCTCGTAGGCTGTTTGGTAGTTGGCAGGCACCAGGCAGGCGTACAATTATTGGTCCATGCCCTGACAGCGCCAGCATCACACACCACCGACAACCATATCAGATTGAGCAGCGCAGCACTGGTGCCTCTACTGCTGAAGAACTACTACAGGTGATCCTACTCGTCCCTCTCGTGTCATGGTCTCATGGTTCTCTTTCTTTCTTCTTTTCGCGGGAGGAAGTCGACGCCCTCTCCCTGGTGACCCCGACGCTTGTCCAACGACGCTTAAACGCGGTCTGTTTCGGATTAGCCTCCCAGATCGCGAATTAAAAGTGCCGCGATCCGAATCCGATCCACTGCTGCGCGGCTGAAACGGAGAGGCGAAATCTCAGCGCGCGCCCGGCCGGCAGACGCATGCAGCCTGCATGGACCGGCGGCCAATAATCGTCCTGTCCTGTCCAACTCAACTCCTGACGAGTGATGGGTGCCTCTCAGACTGAAAAAAAAACCGTGAGTATGTTCATTTGATCGGTTTACGGACCGATAATCCGACCGACGGTTTGTTGTTGAGAGAAAAACGGTTGTTGACCGACCGATAAGCTCGACCAAACCAACAAGTCAATGCAGGCTTAATGCATAACGGGAGAAATGAAGAGCCCCTGATGATAAGCTCTGGCTGAAATCAAAGGTACGCAACGAGAGAAATGGAGAGCCCCTGCTGGCCGACTCACCGACTCGCCTGTTCGGTTGGCTGGTTCGTTTCGTTGCTGTTTCATGAAGAAGTACCGCTGACTGATTTGTGTGAGAAAAAAGTAATGTTCTGACTGAAAATTTACGATCATTTTACTACAAACGAACAGGCCGAAGATGCACAGGAAGTAATGGCCATGCTTGCGGCTCGGCTACGAGCCGGTCGTCCATCCAACCGGGGCCGGCCCTGGAGATCGAGAGTTCAGACATCGCGAGGACTACACCTGCTGCCAAGCCCGCGTCCCTAGTGGTTTTTTCCTGGCGTCGACGCATCGACCACCGTGTGTTCTAACTTCTGACGACCAGGGAGCCAGGGGTATCGCTGGTTCCGTAGTACTGTGGGTGTCATAGGTTCTAGAAGGTGCTGCAGTAGGTCCCAGCACTCGAATTTTTTGGCCGTCAGATAAATAATCGAGGGCTCATACGAAACGAGTACTTTCTCTATACCTTCCTTCCCATTCCTCTTCCACTGCTCGAGTGCTCGTACATGACCGTCCGCAGCTCGTATGTGCCGCTCGTCACCGTGTCCCTGCGCCGCCCTCTACCAGGCCTGCTGCTAAAATGATGAATCCGTCGTGACTCCTTTCCATCATCGACTGAGGGTCCGTTCCGGCTTCCACCAAAACAGCTTCTGTTATGGCTTTACTCGTGGAGCAGATTTAGTTTAGAGCTGAATCAGTTTTTTAGACCGTTTGGCAAAATAGACTTCGCCTGCTAGTCTAAAATGACGAAATATTCATAATACCCATCTTTTTTTTTCTTTTTCTTTTCTTTTCCAACGTTATTTGGTCCCCCACACCGTCGTAGCCATATGCAGTCCGACCGCATCTCCTTCAACCTTATCTCCTCATCACGCGGTCGCACTCTCCTTCCCAATCTCAATCGCCGCCGCCAGGAAGTGCGCCGTGACTCGCTGGTCTCTGTCGGCGCCCCTTCCTCCTCCTCCTCCTCCCAAGTTGCACCGGCCACTGCGCCCCTTTACTCCTCACCGCGCGGTCGTGCTCCACGCCTCCACCTCGTCGTCGCTCTAACACCCAAGCGAGCGCGTGCCCGGCGTGCCTTCAGACGGCCACGCGCCCCCGGACAACCGTGCCCGCGCAGCCCGGCCCGGCGGATCCTTCTCGATGGCCGGTGGCTGCACCGGCGACAATGCCCCGTCTTCCCCGCACACGCTGAGGGGCAAACTCGCCCAGGGCCCGCGCATCTGAGCAGGAGCTGAGGGAAGCTAGTTTTTTCGGCTCCATTTCTCATCTTCACTCCCTCTCAGCGCAAATCACATGACTCCTCCAAGAAAGTTGTTCTCTTGGTACCCGTTTGGTAGGAGGAGTCGCGAAATAGCTCCCGGAGCCGGTCCGGGAGCACTACCAAACGGGGCTTGAGTCCATATGGGCCGCAATTCGCCCAAGGCCGGCCTTGACGAAGCACTTGCAAATTAGAACGGGTGGATGGGCTCGAACCGTGAATTCTTTTTCCTTTTTTCCTGATTTTTTATAACGGCGATTCTAGTGCCGAATGTCCAGCGCGCGGAGTGCGTTTGAAAGTCGGTTCCTTCCCAAAGCCCGCTTGCCCCCCGCGCGAAAGAGAACAAACCCCCCTCCCCCCGCGTATAGAACGGAATAGAACGGGACCTGTCCCTGTCCTCCGCTCCCCGCCGCAGCCTTGTCCCTCGTTCCCAACGCACCCCGTTCTCCCACCGCGCAACACTTCAAGTGCAACATTGCAAACATATGGAAAACTATGCAGTGCGACATCGGGATATAAATACTGCAACACCGCAAAATATGTAGTGTAACATTGAAAAGCATGCACTGCAACAACGAAAAATATGTACTGCAGCATCGAAAAAAAAAGTGCTGCAATATCGAAAAACATGTACTACAACATCGAAAACACATGTAAAGCAACATCGTAAAACAGGTACTACAACATCGAAAAAATATGTACTGCAACATCGAAAAAATATGTGCTGCAACATCGAAAAATTATGTACTGCAACATCTCAAACAGTAGTACTACAACATCGCAAAAATATCTGTTGCAACGACAAAAAAAAATCCCATTGCAACATTCAAAAATCATTTGTTGCAACATCAAAATACCCATTGCAACACGGGAGAAACAGCAAAAAAAAAACGTACAAAACAGCCCCTAGCCCATCACCTTCGAACTCACCGAAGGGAGGAGGGGTATAGGACCCTAGAGCTTGCCGGAACTCAAGCCACCGCCGCGTCCCTCAGATCCAGAGGAGGAGGAGGGCTCGGATCTAAAGAATAACCGACCTACCTCGTCGGAGCCGCCGCCGTCGTCCTCGTCTTCGGTGGGGGCCACATGGAGGTCGCGGAGAGAGGGAGGAAGAGGCGGCAGCGACCTGGTACGCGGGCGCAGTGTCCGTCCCGGGGACGGCCAGGAGAACGGCGTGCGGCGCGGCAGTGAGTGGATGTGGAGGAGCGGAGGGAGAGTGGACGAGCGGAGCGAACGAGTGGGCGCGGGAAATCACAGGATAGGACAAATAGTTGGTGGACGCGCTCAGTCGTTTCGTGTGCGGATCCATCCGGACGGGGCGGACTATCAATGTCCTTTTTTATAAACAGAAGCCGTGAGCCATTTGGGAGCATAGACGATCAAGCTATGTATGGCACACACCGACACACGTGTTCAAGTTCTGGAGGAACTCGGTTCCACGTGGCAGCAGCTCAGTACAGATGGCGCGACACGTTACCACAAGCCACGTTATTAAAGCAAGGTACCCACCGGCGAGCACCGTATCGACCGGACGACAGACGCCGCCACGCCGGGAGCATCGGAGCGCAATCATGTCAGGCGCGCAAGGAGCTCAGCCGAAGGGCGCCTTCACGGCGACCACCTACACGTCGGCGCCTGCGACCACGGGTGGCGGCGTTGCCCAGGGCCAGGAGAGACGGCAGACTCGGCGGACGGAGCTCCGATCTGGCTTGGACGAGCGCGGGCTGCCTGTCAGGAACCTGGAGGACACGGTCGAGGATGCCGCGGGCAAGGGCGGGCCGGTGTTCGGCGCCGGCACGGAGGACGGGAAGCAGGATCTCGGCGTCACCGGCACCGGCTGATGCTAGCCGTGATGTGCTTCTCGTGCTCAGTTTACTAGCGAGTCAACAAGTGAAAGTATAATGTGTCGTGTAAACTGTGATTAATCATGTAACAACTGCAAGCAACGGAATAATATTTCAGAATGGATATTACCACAGTTGTTACACAACCTGCGCACTGATACAGTTCTTGCTTCGGACGCTAAAAGGTAACGAAATAGCAGGATCAATTCAGACAACAAACTTTCAATCGTTTTATAAAAAAAAAGAAGGAAAGAGAAAAAGATGAACATGCGTACACTTTCGGAGATACGAAAAACGAAAGCCACCGGCACTAGAACTCTTCGACGAAGGTTACCGAGAAGGTGAAACTCATGAGAACCTATAGGGATTTCATACAGGTCCAAGCAGGATTTCATCTTTTTGTACACTGTTATGTGTTGATCATTCTGTGATCTGGGACGCAGAGAGGATTCACCCATGTTGACGCCCTTGCCATGGATACAGGAAGGCGTGCACCTCCTTCTCTCTCTGTCTCTCTAGAGGAGCTTCAGCATCTTCAGCCGTTCCTCATGCTCCGGATCAAGCTTTGGCGCCGTGTAGTTGCCGTGAAGGTCTTCCACCACGTATTCCTGCATAACATAAGTGCAAGGTTCAGCTACCTTGAAAAAGAAAAAAAAATTAAGATCCTCACATCATTGACGTACTCGAATGCTTATAATTTGAATGGATCAATTGAATATGCACATTGCTTGCCCTTGATATTAAGAATACTGATCTATAATAGAGGGAAGTTGCTTGCCTTTGTCAACTCCCTTTTGGTCAGGATGTGATAATGCCTCTGCCAGATCCTCTGGACCGCCATGGTTGCAGCGAGGAAGCCGTAGGCGATGCCAAGGATAGCAAATACAACGATGAAAACCAAAACCAGGGCAAAGCATGCCTCCAACGAAGCAGGCAGGCAATCCAGGATGCCCCAACCATAGCAGCAGTTCCGGCACCCAGCCAAGCATGGATCCTGGTTGTCGTTGAAGGATGAGCAGTGTACTATCAGCCCGAAGAATCCAAGGAGCACAAAGAAAACCACAACACCTGCATTTCAAACATACAGTCAGTTTTCTATCAGAGGCATAATAAGTTCCTCTGTAAATAACCAAAATGCACACATCAACTATAATACGGATGCATCATGATTCATGACAATGGATAGGAAAACAGACAATTTGCCTACCTATGCAATAGTAGAATGGTATGGGGTGCTTTGACAAGAAGCGGTCCCAACCATCGCTGAAACTGTTCCGGAAACTTCCATCCCTGTCTAGAAAGTATGCAATCGCACTGATAATAGCAATAGTCTGCAACAATGAAAAACAATGTGATTAAGTAATTTTCACTTGCTAAAATTTTGATAGCAAAACACATTGTCCTATGGCATTGCATCATGTTTCTTCAACTACATATCTCTTTTACAAATATTCACCATATAACTTATACCCAGGAGTCGAGTGAAGCAGCAAACAAATTCGATTCATGACTTCATTATTAAACTGAACAAGTAGACATGATGAGATAGATTATACTTATGGCATTAATAGCAATTCAAATGTAGTAACATGATATAGGTTGCAATAGGATGAATCACAATTTATACCCAGGAGTTGAGTGAAACAGCAAACAGATTCGATTTCATTACTTCTAATTATTTTACTGAAAAAGTAGAAAGAATGAAATAGATTATACTTAAGGCATAGAACAAAGTTTCAAATGTAGTAACATGATATGAGTTGCATAGGATGAATCATAACGTGAGCGTCTCAAAAGTAAAGCTATCAGATTCGTTTTGTGAAAGAAGAACATGCGTAACTTAAGTGCTTTGAAATGTTAAAGACTTACAAGCTGTACAGCAAGAAAGACGAGGAGAACATCCCTTGCAACAAAGATCCTGAACTTCATTTTACGCCATGAGTTATCCTCCCAGGTCTCGACTTGAAGATGAAACTGAGCTTTGCAAGTTGTGCAGTGTGAAAATGCAAATCCTTCCTAAAAAGCATGAAATATCAAAATCAGAACTAGTACATAACTTTATTCTCCATTGATTCCACATAAATAGAAGACAACTTAATGAAGATAGCAGTTAAGATACTGTACTTGAATACCCATAACATCTAACTAGGAAATCAGTGCAAAGAGAATCACTGAAGGCCAATAAGGAGCACAAGTTCAAGCATAACTTTAATAGAAGGTTTAGTGCAGCTAGACTTTACGTGGCACAGAAATGGCAGCCAAGACTCTGCATTCTACAGTTTAACCTCCAGATCAAGCTGAAAAAAAAAGATAGCTTGAAGAGATGCGGCTCAACTTCTAACAGGTAGTGTACTGCCAGTACACACCAAAATTCTGATTGTGATGACATCTTTGCAATGTCAGAATCTGCCATTTGAAAGAAAAAAAAAATGGTTAATGAAGAAAAAGGCATGAAGGGCGGGCCTGGTGCAAGCGGTAGAGTCTTACCGCCTGTGACCGGAAGGTCCCGGGTTCGAGTCGCGGTCTCCTCACATTGCACAGGCGAGGGTAAGGCTTGCCACTTACACCCTTTCCCAGACCCCGCACAGAGCGGGAGCTCTCTGCACTGGGTACGCCCAATGAAGAAAAAGGCTTGGGTTCTTGTGCATTGCAGGAGCACAATCATCTACTACCACCAGAGGAAAACAAAACCTAAAATCTATGCAGCATTGCTATTTCCTGCTCATTCTACAATACAACATGACCTGATCAATGATAGCTGCATTACTCTCCATATAACTTCAACTAGCCCACCACTGCTTTGTGCAGGTTTCTATGTAATATGTTCCCTCTATCCCACACTAAAGTCTTCATGTACAATTACCAAACTAAAGATATTTATTGTTGACAATACAATCGAAAAGCACACAGCATGTCCTTGAAGGAAATTGGCACGGAAGATGTTAGGAAAGCACTGGGTGTACCTTAACAGACCGCCAGTGGTCAAGGCAAGAACGATGAACGAACTGCTGAGTTCCCTTGCACATGCAAGGTGATATTAGCTCATCACCTGCAAAAACATTAAAAGAATCAATGGAATCACAAGGTTTACAGTTACATCATTGGTTGGTTGGATAGGGAAATAAAACTCACCCAACAAATATATTGTATCCTAAGCATTTCTACAGGTACAATTACCCAAAACAAAATGTTAGCCCAATACACATCCTGAATCCTGATACACAGGCAATTCATTTCATTTTATTCACACACCACGGCTGAATTACAAATTGGTTGTTGTTCAACAAGAACAAACTAATATTTATTCCTTGTAAGTGGCTGACAGGACTCAGATGTCACAACAGCATTGCAGATATTATCCAGGGTAGTCATTAAATCAGTTACGTCAAGGAAAATGCTGATAGCCTAAGAAGACAGGTTTTGATTTCTATCTAATAGCATAGGGAATGCAAAAAAAACTTATGCAACCTAGTCAGTTGTGCATCTTGCTTATTCTCCTAGTTAAGGCTTAATGCTTGTGGTATCTGGGTGCAGAACTTCAGATCAGATATCATTCCTGTTCCTATTTTGTTGGATGTATCCTGTGACCAAGCCATATCATATTCTATTAGCCACACAATAAATGCAGTGCAGAGAATTTTGTTAGACCAATAGACAAGGTAAGCAAAATATCATGAGTATTCTTCATTTTCATCTTGCTACAACCGCACAGAAGATTAACACCAGACAAAAGCATTCCTGAATTGAAATAAAGTGAACTAACAGGCATAATGAAAATGCACTGAGGTAGCTCATTGGGACCATTACCTATCTCAGACTCAGCCTCAAGGCAAATGCGGCAGCACCCAGCAGAAGAGCCGTCGGTCTCTTCATCCCCAATCTCCGGTGGGCTCACAGTTGCTGGCTGTGGCGGTGACAGCTCCACCGATGACTGAGACTCCCTGTTCTCCCTCCCAAGAAGAGGGTCCGAGTCATTTGGGACCACCTCTTCCAGTTCCTGGTTCCTAACCATTCCGAGGCCGTTCTTTTCTTCTTCTAGTTTTCACTGCAACAACTTCAATCACCACAACAGCCAAGAAATATAAAATGTGAATTAAGTACAGTTTCAGCAGGGGCACAGCAAAGAAGCCATATGGAGCGAGAAAATTTGAAAGCCAAGGCGCTGAAGTTATAGGTCCAACCAAGTTGAAATTGACTAAGAGATTAGGTGCATGGAGAATTGCACTTGTACAAGACTTGGTCGGAGTACTACTGACCGACCAAAATTTTCCATGAGAAACGGTCAAGTTTTAGCCAAAATTACAATGAAAGAAGCCATGGAGTTCATACCATAGACGAAGGAAATGGTCCGAATGCACCCCCCAATCTCTCCTAAAAAGGGAGGGAGAATAAGAAATTATCAACAACTGCAATTAAACTTCCATCTCAAAGAGCACTTGCGCCCTACTACAAACGATTCGCGCGAGAAGCCCAAGGTTCCGCCACTAAAATGCCACCGATCTCCGACGAACAAAAATAAACGCAACACAGAAGACGACGAAACTCACCGAGAGTAACCGCGTTCCAGCTATGAGAAACAAGCGAACAGGGCGACGAATCAGCAGCGGGAGGGAGCGAACGAAATCAAGCCCGTCACCGAAGCACGACTCCTCTGCCGCCCTAGGGTTCGGGGGATTCGAGAATTTTTCGTGGGGGAGCAGCGAGGGCAAGGAAGCGAGGCGAGCGGGCGGAAGTAATAATACCAGACGTGTAGGTGGCGATCGAGAAAGCGGTCGAAATTCCCGAGGGCTGCGGACTCGGAAAAGCAGCTACCGTCGCCGGCCGATGGCGAGGGAGGCGGCGCTGGCGCCGTCTGCTATGAGGAGGCGAGGAGGCGTGCGCACGGGTCAGAGACAGGGTCGCCCACTGGCCACTGCAACTGCAAGTAAAAATCAGCTCGGACGTGACCGCTTGCTTGTCGTGCCGTTGAACGCCCATATGGGCCGGAATTAGCCCAAGGCCCGGCCTCGTCGAAGCGCTTGTTAATCGGGACGGGTTGATGGGCTCGAACCCATGAGGTCTTTTTTTTATAAAAAAAAACAGAACCCGTGAACCTTTTTCTTTTTCTTTGTTGAAAGGGAAGGAAACTTCCATTAATCCCTGGTTCCAGGCCGATCGCCAGAAACCAAAGCCAATACAATACAATGTCTGGAGCATGACTCATGTATATACATGAACCTTGATTCAAAGTACACCCATAGCTAGCTAATCTATCAGCAACTCTATTACATGCTCTTGGACATACAACAACACAAGCATTGTACAAAATGTGGCATCCCACGATCGAGCTATCGCACACACATGGCTTTTAAAATAAAATCATTTTTACAAAACCATGTCTTTTTAGACCATCAAATATTCTTCATCTAGTTAAGGTCTAAGTTTTATAGATAATAGAAAAAAGATCTTACGGGAGAGTTCATTGCTGACATTGGGTTGAGAGATCGGGTCTACGGCTAGGTGCGTGGTTAGACTTTTTGGGAGCTATTTTTTTCCATCCAAAGAGCCAAAAGGCAATCAAATGGGTGGAAATCAAAAGCTAAAGTAGATACTTTTATAGTATAGTTTTGAAAACATCTTGGATCCTGCTTTTAGTTTTTGGCTCTCTACTTTTTGAATAGTGCAGATAGAGAATAGTTTAACGGTTGTTTCAAGGAAAATAGAGATAGGAGGTAAGTTTTATACTTGTTTGAACAAACATCTTATAATTTTTCTACAACCCACAACCTACAGCAGCTTTCAAACAGCCTACAACTCGCAACAATTTTTTTAGAAGCCACGGTTCTGAAAGCCCTATTTTGGTTTTGGATAATTGATGAAATTTAGGACTAACCTTTGATCTAAGTGTGTGAATTAGAAAAAGTGGTCCAATCTAAGTGATAGAGCAAGACCAGGTCCATGGTGATGAAGGTGGACATGAAATGACGATGATCAAGCTCAGCTTGGAAAAGAAGAAAGAGAAAAACAAAACCAAAGCGATCAAGGCAAAGGTATAAGATATGTTTTGTTTTTGATGATCAAGACACTACAGAGAGTGTGATCACGTTTATGATCGATAGTTGTACTATCACTACACCACAACACCAAGATTAGCGATGGATGATATGACGCTAAAAGCGGCTACAGCGACAAACAATCTGACGCTAAAAACTTACAGCGACAGACTTCTACAGACGCTATAAGTCCTGTCGCTAAAAATCTTTAACGTCAGACAGTACTTTTAGCGATAGATAATCTGTTGCCTCGAATATTTATAGCGACAGATAGTCCATTGCTACTTTTAGCGACGAACTGTGCGATGGTACATATGGTTTTAGCGACAGACAGTCCAACGAGACAATTTTAAATGGTTAAAAAAATAAAAATTAATCCATCAACAATTGTCCACAATAATACAAATGTCACTACACAACTAAGATTCAACTTCAACAAACATACATGCATCTTCACAAATTTAACCAAAACTTTACAACAGCTCACATAGATAAGCTCACCATCTCATCTATTTCCTCTAGAGACAATAAGAACATCCTCTAAAACATAATGATCATAAGAAGGGACAAGAATATCTTCCTAGTCGTCATTCCTTTTAAAACATAAGATGAAACAAAGAGTTTATAAGCAACAATGATAAGCCTATGAACCAGATTGGCACAAATAGTATAAGAATCAAGAGCCCAGTCATCTAAGCTGCCATCCTTCAAGCTAGAGTGCTATACTCCAACTAAGACATACTTGTTGAGATTTAAGAATCAGTGCTAGTATTTATATATAAAAAAGGGCAAAGCACATGAAGAATACCATTTTAAATCATGCGCAAATACTTGGTAGAATTTTCTGTCCATTAGCAATTGTTCTGGTAGATTAATTAGATGACAAGAAGTTCTTACATGGAACTCATGCTAAAAAACAAACAGTTTTCATACATGCTGAAAACTCAGGTTACATACTAAAACTAAAAACAGAGAATTGATAGCTGCAGCAGCTACTACATATCAATAAATCAACAATCTAGTTGGGGTTGTTATATATATCACTACTAGCTGAACCTAGTTACACCACATGAAAGAAATAACATCCAGTTGTAGATTTCACTAAATATATGTACACTTGTATGCAATACAGAGAAGCTATCAGCTCAAGTTCAGTGTGTGTTCACCTGAGTTGAGTGTCTGCTCGCCTCCTCCCCAATCTACCTCATAAGAATGCAATTTACATATAGTGAGTTGCAATGGACAAAATATTCAACTAGCATAGGTGCATGTATAACTCTCAAGTATTACCATAATTCCAAAACATCGCATGTATAACAGATGGTCTGATGAGGAATTTTCCAGCATTACCATAATTCCAAAACATCACATAAGAGCAAATAATTCTAGCATAGCACTGCCTACTAGCCTAGAAATGTGAGTAACTAAACATTCTAAAGTCATAACTGATGAGCACTAAAAGAATCTACAGATGAGTATTGAGTATCACAAGTTCTAACACCTATTGTGCATACAAGTCTGAAAGTGCAATGTTATTAGACAAAGTTCATGGAAATAATGTACCTTTATCCTTTGAGCTTGGGAAATTGGGCAGATGATCGATTGGATGCTGGATTGTTGGAGGAAGCTGATTTAGGAACAGGTAGCCCATCAAGGATGGTGGAGCATAGATGAAAAAGCATAGGTTCAGTTCATATATCATATAAAAATAAATAGGTTCAAATCATATAAATAGGTTAACAATCCTGCAGCAAAAATCAATCTAACACAAATAGTTGAGTTCTGCAATTCCAGTTATTTGCTTAGTGTCACCAGTAACTAAATTAGCCATGGTTATACCACTTCTTCACTTACTGTCACTAGTAACTAAATATATGATTCACATGCATGATCAAGTTCAGATTCCATTACCTAGGACAACAGGTGGATTAAAAAAACAATGCATGAAGGTTTTTGTTCAGCAATAGTATCACACGTCTATAATTTTATTTCGGGTTGTTCAATTAACTTGAAGTGACACATATAGATAAAGATATGAAGCAGTACCTGAACTTGCAATGCATGATGGGTCGAACATCAAGATGCATCGTATCCATTACCTAAATTGTGATAACAAAGTATATATGGATGATTAATTAAATTGGGATAACAAAAATAGAATTAAAAACTAAAATTAAAGAAGATTGCATACCTTGAGCAGGACAATATGAAATCTGAGCAGCTGCTTGTGAATTTTCTTTGATGCTATCATGGTACTATGGATATACATAAGCATGCAACTCATATTTCAATTAAGTATCGGTCAATTTAAATTGTACAGAGCATCAGCCTAATGCTAGATTTACGATAAGCAGAAACATGTTAAAAATACAAACAAGAAACAATTCTTGTCATCATAACCATTGTACATGTTTATTTGGTCTATAACAAAAATCACGGAATTTTGTATATCATATATTCCTCACTGACCTGGTTACCAGCACATGCGACACAAATGCAGATCCTGTATGGACATAAATACAGATCCTGTATGAAATGTTTTGGCAAAGTTCAGTATAGAGAAGAGAGGGCCCTAATGTCAGACAAGACAACAGATTCAAATATAACCTTAAATTTCCAAACAAATAAGCAGTGATATGGATTAAACATGCATTTTGATTGTCTGTCAGACAATATAATGAAAATTTCCATCTATCCAAGTTCATTGGGAATATCAGATCATTCCTTGGTATACTTACTGAAAGAAATTAATATAATAAAAGATCTAAGCACGAAACAAAAATGCGTGCTTTGGTGATGGAATGGACGGTGGATAACTAACCAATTTGTTTTTGCACAGATTGAGTACACAGTTGCTTCCCTAACTTTGACCAAATTTCATAGATAGGTATATTAACAAAATTCAATCCACATCATGCAGAAAGACCATAACAAGGAGATCCATTTTGCACATACATGCATATACCTAGGATTAGTTCAG